TCTTTGGGGTAGGGATTCATTATATGTTTTCCTACAAGGGCCAGAACTGGTTTCAGAGCATGGGTGAAGCAGACTTTCAAAGACTTTCAGAGACTTTCTCTTTGAAAGTCTCTGCTGTCAGGACTTGGTCAGTACATGGTCAAAGGATGCCTCAGAGAAACCAGGAGTGAGAGGAGCAAGAGGGTGAGTAGAAGCTGTTTTGGGAGAGCAATAACCATGGAAGCCAGAACAACTTAATGTTTTGTCACTTAAAAGTAGTGATTGTAAAGCCAAAAAATGAAAGACAATATAAAAAGATCAAGTTTTTCTGGTTTTCATGATTCTTATGGGTAGGCTAAGGAACAGAGAGGGAAACAAAGGCGAGAGTGGAACAGGAGCATTAAGACGAATGCGGTAAACAGGGCCGCGTGGTTCAAAGCCGCTGGGTGGTCTCTGGCACGGGGTGGAGGGTGGCACCAGCCTGCTAAAAAGGCATCAGAGCAGACAAGATGTGCCACACCTGTTCAACCCCAAGCTCTGTTGCAGTAGGTTGAAAATGTCTTCATAGCTTCCCAGGAGCAAATGGGAATATATGACTACAAAAGGAATTGAAACGAACTCATTGCCTATTTAAATTGGGAGCAACAACTGCATCAGGAATGTAACTCTACCCAATAATACTCTCAAAATACGATGCATGGGTTTCTAGAAGCCATTCTGGGTAAATAATTCCTTGCCTCTTTATTCTCTATTTCTTCATACTGGCTACCTGCTTGGTCTTCAAAATACCTCCCGTTTGCCCTTTGTACCAGGAGTCCAAAATGAGAGGACCACAGGAAAATGTGCATGTACCATGACACAGCAAGGACATAAGGCCACGCAACCAAAACAAAGGAGACAGCTCAAAATGCTTTCCCAATTCCAGGAGACAAGACTGATACCTTCAGGCAGAACCAGTTCCATAATTTGTGGGGACCCGTGCAAGATGAAAATACAGGGCCCTTGTTAAAAGATTATTCAGAATATCACGACAGCAACAACAGAGCCTTAGACCAAGTCTTGGGCCCTTCTTAGTGCGCTGGGAGACTGCACAGGTCCCACAGCCATGAAGCTGGTCTTGTTCTCAGGGACAGTACAGCATGGTCCTTTAGAAGAGCTTTAGAGTCAAAGCTGGGTCCAAATCCCATCTTTGCCACCCATTAATCATGTGATTTTAGGCAATTTATTTAGTCTCTCCATGCTTCTAAGAGGTTGTATAATCCAGTATCATGAGGATTAAGTGGGATAATGGATAGACGTGTATATATAGAGAGTGCTTGGTAGCCGTACTGTTATTGTCCAATGAAATGTACAAGCAATTATCAAAGCAGTAAGTTTAAGAAAAGAACTGCTTATCTGAAAGAATGAGAATATTTTAGGACAACTGAAATAATGAAGCAGACAGGGAAGAAGACATCTGTGCTTGACTCTTCTGCCTTCTCCAACTGCTTTCCTATTTCTTTTCTTCCTTTTACTGCCAAATGTATAAACAGGGATCTACCTGCTATCTTCATTTCCTATCAGCATCTCCTTCCACAACCCTCTTTAATCGGGCATTTAATATCCCCATGGCCATCCCCCGCTGAATGGAAGCTATTCTTTTCAGAAAGTTACCAATGACTCCGTTTACTAAATATAATCGATATTCCCAACTTTTCTATACAGCTTCCTGCTGCGGACCTGCTCCTCCCGCTTGAAACCCGCTGGTCTCCTACCTGCTGAGATCTGCACCTACCTGGCTATCGACACGTCTGCTCAGGCACACAAAGGGTCGGATGAGGAAGCATTGGTTGGGTGAACAAATCAGATGGTTCTTTTGTTTCTGATTCCTTATTTTCTACCATAATGACCACATTTCCTCTCCTTACCTTGCTAAATAAATGTGGGCAATCTCCAAGCTTCAGCCCTTGGTCCCCTATACTTCTACTTCTATTCTGTTACCACTGGTGAACAAGCTCATCATATGGCTTCAATTATCACCTTCTATATATGACTCCCTGACTTCCCTCCTTTGAACATTAGCCCCCACTTCCAAATACTTGTGGGATGTGTCCACTTACAATTTCCTGTGTCATCTAGCACTGAGCTTCTCCACTTCTCCAGCAAACTGGCTTTGCTTTCTGTCTGTCCTGCTTCTGTTAATCTTGTCACCCATGTTCACAGCTGTATTTCATTCTTCCTTTCTTGTTCTCCATATCCAGTTAGTCATGTTTCCTTGATAATATTTATTGATTCCATCCCTTTTTATTTTCCCTGCCACCACCCTAATTCAATTCCCTATCCCCTCACACCTAGACTGTTTTAATAACCTACTGATTGTACAATTCTCTTTCTGTCCCAACTAAAGTTTATTCTCCATATTGTAGTTGAGAATCTTCTTAAAATATCACTTTCATGACCTCACACTTTCCTAACCAAGCATCTTTGGCCTTTCTATCATACAGGATAAAGTCCTATCTCTTTAGTTCAGGACCAATGCCTGTTAAAATCTGGCTTCAACCAACCCTTCCAGTCCTACAATTTCTCTATGTACACCTGATCTTGTCAGATTGGTCAATCTTATCAACTGGCCCCTGAAAACTTTCTTCCACATTCCGGCCCTATGTTTTAGGAACGTTATTTTTCCTGTCTAGAAATCCCTTCCACCTTCATTGTCTTTATGTGTAAAATTCATCATGTCTCTAGAAAAAGTCTTCCTTGATAATCATAGTCCATGATGACCTTTCTCTTGTTTCAACCCCTATCTAAGACCACATTTAGCACTTACAAAATTTACTGAATTACTGCTGTACATTTGTGACTTCATTCAGTCTTCACAACTATATGAGAGGTAGGTAGCATTAGTACATAGGGGAAAATGAAGTTGGATAACTTGCCCAAGTCGCAGAGCAGGTAACTGGTAGAACTGGGATCTGAATCCTTATTTAGCTGAGAATAATCCCCAGACTACACCACCTCTCTCATTTTCCTCTCTCTTCCAAAGCACAGATACAGCACAGTATTTGCACACAAGCAGATGCTGGGTAAATATGCTGATTGAGAAGATTGCTTAACTAGCACCCCTGATTCTCTAGCGCTTAGAGCTGTCAACCTTAGCAGTGCACATTGGGTGATATTGCCCCAGTGCCACCTTCTTTACACAGCCTGATCTGTAATATAGTTCAAGACAGGGGATTTGCCAGAAATCCACCATAATGCATTCTAAAAATAAAGTTTGGTTTAAGCAAAACTAAAAGGCATTGATCTGATTCAAACATCAGGTGAGTTTAAGGGATGAGGTCCACTTTACTACCCCTGGGTCCATCCATGCTCTGTTTGCAAATGATCAGGAAGTACAAACAGGCTGGTTAGTTGATGGCTTATAGGGTAAAATTGATTATTTATAGTTCTAGAGGTGGATACTAAAGCAGCAGAACAGGATTTTCTTGGCTCTGGTAGCTAAAGGCCTCAGTAAAAGAAGCCCAGTAAAAGTGAATGATGGGTGGAAACAGACCAAAAGAGGGTAATAGTAAGCAGGGAGTGAGAACAGACAGAAAGAAGTCCTGGAAATACTCTATAGAGGAGATGGTGCTGTCCTTTTCTGCACAGTTGCCTGAAGCTGTCAGATCCAGCCCTGCCCCTCCATGGCTGGTAGCACACAACAGAGGGCTCTATCATTTCTGGCTGATTCATGGTGCCAGTTCTACACTACTTGCCCTGACCCACATCACAGTCCACACTTTCTCTTGCTCCAGATCTTTCTAGCTTCTGACCTAATTCCTCATTTCCCCAGGCTTCACAATCGGACCAAATGCAGATTTCACATTCAGCACTGCCTCCCTGGTTATGACGGTTATTTTCCTCTTACTGTATGATTTAGATCGCCCTCTGGGATGATGCCTGTGGTGTCACGCATTCTGCCCAGTTTTCAGGCCCTCTACCTTGGAGCTGCTGCAAACCATTCCTTTACCAATGTCCATATGTTGGCCCCTTAACTTGGAAAGACAGGAGTGACAAAGACCAGAAGTAAGGTTCAGAAAAGCTGGTGAGGGGAAAAAGTAGGGGGGAAGAACAATAAGACAGAAAATACCACTGGAAAATTGTGGTGGGAATAACACATTCTAGGTTACTTTTGGAAAGTTACTATATTGAGAAAGGAAAAAGGCCATGGCTACAATATACCACCATTGCCTAGAGATGCCACACCCTTTAAGTGCCTGTATTCAATATTTTTTTCTGCTTAGGCTGACCTTCCTGTCCTTCCCAATTTTCTTGGCAAGGCAAACTCCTACTCATCCTTCAAGACCTTTCTTAATCATGGTCTTCTCTGGAAAGCCTTCCTGGACCCTCTCTGACAGCTAATTGTTCCCTCCTCTGTGTTCCTGCAGCTCTTTACCTACACATCTACTATGCAGTTATGAGTTCTTCTGGCAATTCTGCCCCTCCCACTATTTCTCTGAAGACGAGGACACATTATCTTATTCGATCTTTGCATCCCTGAGACACAGACTGCCTGGCATCGAGGTGGCGTTTGTCGTGTGATAAAAGAGCAACATGCAAGTGCAATTTGCACGTCACTTGCAAAAATCAAATTGGCTCCTGGTACTTTCCATGTGTGACCACGGTTTTCCTTGACTTAGAATAAATGACTTCAGACTCAGAAAGGAAATTCTTTTGCTATCGCTGGCACGTTAGCCAGTTTTACATCGGCACTTGCCATAGAAACATTTCGCCCCCACACTTCCAAGACGCTCTGAGAGCAAGCTGAATATTGGTGGCACATGGCCCATCCACCATTTCTATTGTAGAGAAAGCTAAATTACATCCTGCGCCTAAAGCTGCCACCAATCTCAATGAACTGGTGGTGGTGGTGGTGACAGCGGTGGGGGGGGGCAGAGGAGGGATAATGGAAAGAACACACTTCTGTAGCAGACCTAAGAGGGGGGTGAGGGAGGAAGATGAATTTAAACCTCGCCTTGTAAAAAAATCTGTTGGAAACTCACACAAAACAGATGCTTCCTCTGGACATGACAGACCCGATCCAGGTGTCCAGCAGTGATCTTTCCCTATGAGTGTCAGGGCACCACCCAGCACAGGAAACTAGGGGCCACTGCCTTTCTTGGGCATACTTCCTTCTCAAACCTGGCAAACCTTGGGGCCTGCTTTTCCTTTAGGAGATTGTCCTCTCCTTCCAATCTCCTCCCAACAAGGACAATCCTCAGTTCCCTAGGCTGGCCCCCCCTCAACCCCTGCACCAATCTTGCCTTCGCCCCACAGGCGCCCCAGCTGGACTCCGGGTCCCAAGTGCC